CACAGGGCATGGTTTTAAAAATAAACAAAACGAGATAAAATAAATTAATTTATGTACACTTTACATACACTCTGTGTCACGTAGTGTTTGCAGCAACAGTAACAGAAATTGTTACAAAATAGAAAGTTACATGGCTGTTGCAGGTATTCAACAACCTACAACTTACAACAGTGTCATCCTGAGAGTGGTTAGCATAGTGATCATGTAAACATGCTTAGAAGCATTTACGGTGGACAATGGATGGGCCAGCTTCATCATATTCCTGTTTCGTGATCCACATCTGCTGGAAGGTAGACAGGGAAGCCAGGATAGAGCCACCAATCCAGACAGAGTACTTACGCTCAGGTGGTGCAATGATCTACAAGATTAAGCAGAGCTCTGATCAGTAAACAAGCCATATATGGGCACAGAAAACATTTATGAATTACTACACATAACTTTACAACATGTTAAGTGAGGTGGAATAGCATTTCCCAAAGAGGGAGAGTTAGATGCACCCATTCAAACTGATAGTTTGCAAAGTGCTTTGAAGATCAGCAATGTTAAGTATTATATCTTATTCCACTGTACTTGTCTGAAAATAAGAGTCTTATCTGATTATAAGAGTCAATAATCCATATAGTCAAATGTACCTTGATCTTCATTGTGCTTGGAGCCAGAGCTGTGATCTCCTTCTGCATGCGGTCAGCAATACCAGGGTACATGGTGGTACCACCAGACATGACATTGTTAGCATACAGGTCCTTCCTGATGTCAATATCGCACTTCATGATGCTGTTGTAAGTTGTCTCATGAATACCAGCAGATTCCATACCTGGTAACATGAGGAGACAAAGGAATACAGAAGTAAGTGCACTTAATTCACCAGTGAAGCAGAAGGATCAGTAACACTGAAGGGAAGGATGTTTTTGGAGAGAGGAGATTATATACCAATGAAGGATGGCTGGAAGAGGGTCTCTGGGCAACGGAAACGTTCATTGCCAATAGTGATGACCTGCCCATCAGGCAATTCATAGCTCTTTTCCAGGGAGGAGGAGGAAGCTGCAGTTGCCATCTCATTCTCGAAGTCCAGAGCCACATAGCACAGCTTCTCCTTGATGTCGCGCACAATCTCACGCTCAGCTGTCACAGGGAAAAACGAGATGTTAGAAGGCTGGAATGGGAGAGAGAGGAGCAAAGCAGCACAACCAGAGGTCAAGGGGAACGGGCAGGGGCTCCAAAAGAGCGTGCCTGCATGTTTTCTGGTTCTGGGGGGGATTGTGCAGAGTCAAACAACAATATGAATGGAAGGGGGGGGGGGAAATCAAAGCATGGTCCTTGATTTTCAACATGGAACATCAGATACAGATCCCTGTGTTTAATATTAAATCTATCAAACAAGACCACACTGAGCAAATACACACCAGGTCCCCCAGGCTCAGGTTGTGTCTATTAAGTACAAACCTGTACCAATTAACAGGCAAGTAGCTAAGTACAAGTGCCCATTGCACTGAGTGGTGACCAGTCATCCCTAGTTACACAAAGGAGTGCAGGGTTGCAGGATTTGGCCATCCCCATGGAAGTTAAACAAGTCAGCCTCGAGTGTGACCGCTGTGTGCTGCCGATCAGAGGAGATGGTCGGTGGGCAGGCTCCACTTACCAGTGGTGACGAAAGAGTAGCCACGCTCTGTCAGGATCTTCATCAGGTAGTCAGTGAGGTCCCGACCGGCCAAGTCCAAGCGCATGATGGCATGTGGCAGAGCGTACCCCTCATAGATGGGCACGTTGTGTGTGACACCATCACCGGAGTCCAGCACAATACCTGCGGGGGGGGGGGGGGAAGGAGAGCAAGTAAGACTGAGCACCTCGCTAGGCCGACACAAGGCAAGGCTTGGGAAATGGTCACAAGGGAAGGAGCAATCCCTGCAGGACCTCATGGAGAAGGGGCAGGCAAAGTTTGTTTTTACTAGTGGCAACATCAGTCTAGCGCAGAATTGGGGACCTTCTGAGGGCAGGGGGGTTCATGTCTCAGAGAGTCTATGCCAGTGGGTGGGTGCCCTCACTAGGTGAGGGTGGGTGTTGGCCTGGCTCAAGGTGGGCGACACCTATGCTGGTGGGTGGATGCCCCAGGATGAGGGTGGGATCACCTATACTGGTAGGTGGGTGCCCCCCAGGTGAGGGTGGGTGCTGTTAGAGGCTCTGAGGAGGCCCATTACTCTCACTCACCAGTGGTACGGCCGGAGGCGTACAGTGACAAAACAGCCTGGATGGCCACATACATGGCGGGCACATTGAAGGTCTCAAACATGATCTGGGTCATCTTTTCACGGTTGGCCTTGGGGTTGAGGGGGGCCTCAGTGAGCAGGGTGGGGTGCTCCTCGGGGGCCACACGCAGCTCATTGTAGAAGGTGTGGTGCCAGATCTTCTCCATGTCATCCCAGTTGGTGATGATGCCGTGTTCAATGGGGTACTTCAGGGTCAGGATACCTCTCTTGCTCTGAGCTTCATCCCCCACGTAGGAGTCTTTCTGACCCATACCCACCATGACACCCTAGAGAGGAACAAAAGGGGGTTAGGGGGCTTAACATCTCTCCAGGGAAGGAGGGAGAGAGTCACATGCTATCCACTCTGAGGAGTGACAGCCAGCTCAGGACAGAAGAGGGGAAAGCTCCCAAGTCACAGGGCACAGCTAGGGCAAATCCAGCCCATTGTAAGAGCAGCTATTGCAATACAGGTGTGCCTGCATGGAGCACACCTGTACTACAACAGCACATTTGTGGGGCATTGATATATATATATAAGCTAGTCTCAGAGGAAGGGTGATTGGGTCACAGCTGGTGTGACAGCAGGCAGTTGTAGCACAGCCGGCATATAAATTACTCAATCCCATTATGGAGGTGGGGGTCAGCCCCTCCCAAGTGATTAGGGACTTTCCCCAGAAAGCAGGGGATGGTTTTTAAGCACTACCTCTGTGAAGCTGCAGTCCTGGCAGGGCTAGAAGACAGGGCATCGTACCTGATGGCGAGGGCGGCCCACGATGGAGGGGAACACAGCCCTGGGAGCATCATCCCCGGCGAAGCCAGCCTTCACCAGGCCAGAGCCATTGTCGCATACGAGCGCGGTGGTCTCATCCTCATCACACATGGTGTCGGCTTTCTGGGGAATGGCAAGAAAATCAAACCACCATAAGAGCGGACAGGAGACAATGCAACACAGCAGTAGTCTCACCACTCATGATCCACTTTATCACTAGGAGAGTGGTGAAGCACTGGAATGGGTTCCCTAGGGAGCTGGTGGAATCTCCTTCCTTAGGAGTTTTTAAGGTCAGGCTTGACAAAGCCCTGGCTGGGATGATTTAGTTGGGGTTGGTCCTGCTTTGAGCAGGGGGTTGGACTAGATGACCTCCTGAGGTCCTTTTCAACCCTGATATTCTATTATACTGTCCCAGAGGAGCCGGGCTCTCCCCCACCCACAGAAGGTGAGGGGTGAAGTGGGGCATGGCTTCAGAATGGGGCTGCAAGGTCCAATGGACATCTCAAAGGGTTTGATTTAAAACAAAAACTTCTATTCTACTTTAAAGTGGTTAATTAAAAATCACATTTTAAACTCAAAGTAGATCCAGCCTTCCTTTCTATTTTAGAACTCTATTTTAAATCTTTATTCCACACAGTATGGGTTATAGGAAATTGTAAATTAGCTCAAAGAACTAATAGAATTAATCCACCACATACTCAATAAACTGCATTATTTATTACTTGATCCTCATTTTATCAAGTTTAGAGATTGTTACCAACTAATCTGGTAGTTTTAATACATACACTTAAGATACATACAGTAATTATATTTGTGGGGGGGTGTAAAAATTGTAATCTTATAATCATTTCCACTTGATTTAAAAATCTCATCAATCTGGAACACAAGTTAAAGTAGGTCATAGCTGCCAAGAGTATTTAGGAGAAATAATTGTAAACCTTTATCAGGATAACAATAGTAAGCCACAGTTTTAAAATAAAAGCCAGGGACTTTGATTCAATAACGTGGCAAAAACTGGAGATGAAGAGGCAGGAGAGTAAACTTTAAGAAATTACTTTTCACATAGTTATTTAAGGGTTTTAAAAATTTGAAGCAATAAACGTGCTGGTTTCAATTGGATGGAATTAAGAAGATGCGATGTAAACATAAAGTCATCCAAGTTCAAGTACCATCTTAGATGGTACAAATAGTAAAATCCAAATAGTACACATCTATGGTACTGTGCTTTTCCTTAAAATCTGACTCCCCCCCCCCGGCTACAATACAAGAGAAGACTGGCTCAACAAGAGCCACTTAAACTATTTCCCTGTTCATCACGATCAGTAACGAGTTACTAGAGAGGTAACGCGTGCCTGCTAGCATTCTCTCCCTCCACTCAACGCCAGCTCGGCTCCAGGGAAGTTGCGGGGAGCTGCCCTGCAGATCGGCCGCCGTCCAGGCAAGACGCGCTAATCTCTCGCTGCCTCGCCAGCGATCCGAGCTGTGCCCCCGCATATAGACGCGATTCCCCCCTCCCCCGCACGAGGGCCAGCCCGGCCCGCTCGCTCTCTGCAGCGGGGGAGGCTCCCGCCTCTGGGGGTTGGCGCTTTGGCTGCTCCCCAGACACTGTTTAGTCTCGGGCCCCGGCTGGGCGTTTGGCGGCGCGCCGCGCTCAATGGGCTTTGCGGGCTCAGCCCCCGCCCCGCCCCGCTGGGCTCCCCCGGCTCACCTCGGGTGGCTCCTGGCTCTCTGCTCCGGTTCAGGCTCCTCGCAGCTCTCCAGCTCGGTGGGCTGCCCGGCCCCGGCCCGGCTTTATAGAGCCGCCGCCGCCGCCTCCCCCGCCGGCCGCAGGAATGTCTCCCCGTCTGTCTCCATATTTGGGTGTTGGGCAGCGAGCGAGCCCGGCCGGCCCGGCCGGAGCCCCCCAGGTCCCCTGCGCTGCCGCGGGGCTGCCCAAAGAAGGAGCTCCTGGCCCGGGCCCAGGGACCAGAGGCCGGGCCGTATAAGGAGCGTCTGCCGGGCCCTCCCCGGCCCCCGCCTCGGGCCAGGGGAAGGGGCCGGGAGGGCTCGTGTCCGAAATAATCCCGACCCCGCGATACCCAGAAAGGAGAAAGCGGCGCAGGGCTCCCGGGTGGGAGCTCCCGGCCCGGCAGCGGCCGCAGGTTCGGGGCAGCCAGGGGGAGGCGAGCCCGGCTCGGCCCGAGGAAGAGGGGCTGAGAGCAGGGCCGTGGGGCGATCAGCCTTGGCTGGCCGGGGGACAAGGGGCTCGGACACCGGCCCCCCAGGAGCTAAGCGGCAGGTACCTCTACAGCACTGCTACGGCCCTGCCTTTGGCAAGTCACTTCCCCTGCGAGTTCCCCAGCGCGCACAGCCACGGCCGCCTAGCGCACAGCGCCATGGCGAGCCACGCACATTTGTGTACGGTCTCTTTAAGTGGGCAGTTTGTGTCAGACACACACAGCTCGGTGGATGCTGCCTCCTAATTAGCATTCTCCACCCCAGGGGAAAGGACTGTTGCAAGGGGACACATGTTGTTGTTGTTGGTTAAATCACTGTAGATTTTGGGGTAGAAAAATTAATTCTTGCGCAGCAGCAGCTTTCTATAATAAAAAATGCTGTGCAAAATCAGTTTTATATATAGAGGATGATAAAGATCCACGTTCTGGCTAGTTGCCAGTATAGGTTGGACAGCTCCCATGCACAGTGGGGCTGCTGTTGTTTATGCTATTTATACCACTGATATATTCAGATATATTTAAAAAAAAAATTCTCCAGAGATTTGAATCTACTTATGGTCATGTAGAGGTTTAATGGTCATTTTGGGTTGGGGAAGGCTGGAAGTACAGTTGGTAGTTGTCCAACTACGGTTAGGATAGGAAGCACAGCAGCTGCTTATGGAGAGAATTGAAATAAATGGACAGCTTAGCGGGCCAGGAAGGACAGATGTGATGCCAAAAGTTAGTGGAAGAGAGCAGCGGCCTCACTTGGAGCAATGGTAACATCTACTTTTCTAAAGTACACAATGTACACACATGCTGGAAGGAATCTGTATGCTCAACAGGTGTTTTCTCTGTGGAAGACAAAGATAGAAGTGTTCGGGTTTGTAGCTCACCATAAACTATCCTTTTATAGGTTATTTCTCTATAAAATTAGGAAGAGGAAACTGCTCTGACATTTCCTACTGATCGTTTCAGCAACCAGCAAGATAGCTAGATATGTAATTAGCAAAGGCCTCTCTGCATCCACCACAAAAGTTATTGAGGAGATGACATTTGTAACTTTCAGGCACCCTTAAAAAATGCTTGTAATTAAATTTTAAGGTAGGGATCATAGAATGGTATTAAGTACCCATTCAATTCTTGTACAATTCTTTTCCAAATCAGGGAAGGGGCCATTCTTCCTCCATAAATAGGAATTGTATTCATCCCAGCAAAGAATAGTCATAAAAGGGGGAAAATATTTAGAAAAATAGGTTGTGTAGGTAAGAAGGGGAGTTAGCACAGAAGAAAATCTAAAGCTGACAAGGAAACAGTAGATTATGATTTATTTATGTTGAATGCCTGTCATGCTTTCATTTGCCCTATATGGGATCTGACCTTACATTTAAAAATCAGTTTCATATTACCAAGCTCTTTAAAACACACTGATTTTATTGGGTCTGATTTAAAGATGCATATGAAAAAGAAATGCATAGCGTAATGGTGGATGTCTGTTAAAGAAGCCCCTGAAGAGATATTGGTACTGGGAAAATGTATTCCAGTGACTATTTCTAATACCAGAAGTCTGATGTAGATTTAACCACTAGCTGTTGGATCCTGGTGCACTCCAATTGCAGTTATGAACTGTATCCATTATTGACCTGCTGAGTTCTGATTGGCTTAGAATACAGACTTGATGTGTGACTCAGAATAGCTCATCCATAAGGGTTTTAAAAAGGTATATTAGTCTTACCGATAAGCTGCCTGTGACTGGATGAAACTACTCCATCGTTAAATAAGGGGAAATTAACTATTCATCTAGCCAGGCTCTGAATAAGCAGAGATTCTATTTGGCATAGGTGAAAGACTTTCTTTAGAAATTCCTGTTACACTTAGAAGGAAGAATCAGGTAAAGGAGATGAAGAAAGCAGGCCTGGTTTGTAACAACTGACTTTGGCGAAATTAGGGTAGGAGTAGCCAAAGGAAAATTTTTACTAAAAAAAAAAAAACTAAAAATAGTGGAGTAGAGAAAAGTGCTGGGAGAAGTCTCTGTGCTACCACGAACCACTATGAAGGAGAAGGCATTTTCTGCAGTTGGATTTCCCCAGCTGCAAGACAGCAGTAAGGTTTATCAGGGGATGGCTGACTTCTTCTTCTCCTCTAACATTTAATCTATGCAACTCCTAGTCTGGCAGCTCTCCCCTTCACCTCTGGCTGCACCCTATGTCTTTTTGCTGCCGCTTTCCATTTCCACTTCCTGCCATGCTACTGTCGTAAAGCACGCTGGAGGGGGGAAATGATTTTTCTCTGCAATTTTTTCTCCTCTTCATTCTTCCAAACTCTGTTGCCTAAAACTGAACCTACATAAATTTTCCATAAAGAGAATCCTTTTCTGAGGATTTTAAGGAATCACAGTAATCAGATATCAAAAAAGATGCTCAGATTAGTTATTTCATGAGAGATGTATTTGTACTCCAGTTATCCATATGTGGTGGCACAAACCCTGCTTAAAATATTAACAGGGGAAGCATTGATACGACCTTTTAATGTAAGTGTTAAAAAAAATTATTGGACATATACCATTTTGGTTTTCCTACAACAAATCTCATGGTATCTCAAAGTGATACTATAGCTAAGTATGATAAATAGCAATTCAATATAGACAAAAGCCCGGTGGCAATATTAATTTTCCACATAAAAGGCCACTTCCCCTGTATACGTTCTCTGGGATTGTAACATAGGATGGGCACGAGGGGCTAAACCAATATTTATTTTTTCAGTGTTCAGCCACCACAGCGACAAGTCAGTTCAAATTCCAGCAATAAGAGCAGGGCAAGAATAAAACTGATCTCCATAGTGGAATGTCCAATTTCTTCCACTTGTCTTGCTACAAATCACAACTTCACACCCTTTTCCATTATTCTTAAACTCGTGATGTTTACAAGTGAGGGTTGGACATTAAAATGATTTGTATCCTATACAAGGAAAGAAATGCTTAATACATTATTTAATTATAAAATTTGTGTTACCTCCCCCCCAAACATTTGAGAACATTTTCTCCTCTATTTAATTTAGCCACATGGCTAACTGAAAACTTTCTTGCAGGAACAAGTAGTAGTCTATACCTATTGTAACTGTTCCCCTTCATTGTAATCTTTTTAGATCTATTATGCAGCGCTAAATGAAGACCTCTTCTCTGTGCCACTATTTGAGAGAAGTCTGTTCTATAAGAGAAGTATCAGAGGGGTAGCCATGTTAGTCTGAATCTGTAAAAAGCAACAGAGGGTCCTGTGGCACCTTTGAGACTAACAGAAGTACTGGGAGCATAAGCTTTCGTGGGTCAGAACCTCACTTCTTCAGATGCAAGTGAAGAATCTTGCATCTGAAGAAGTG